AAAAAGAGCTAAAAGCCCTCTACAGAAATAGTGATTAGAAAGACATAGGATGAAACTGAAAAAACAAATACAGCAGTCAACAAGTTAAACTTGTTTAAAAAGGAACAGATAATATAAGAAAACCTATAAAAATAAGTCCTAATTTATCACAAATTCAAAAGTGAAATACAATATTAAAAAAATTATATTTGGGAACATGTTCATCTTTCTTCAATGAGAGTGTAGCTAATACACTTCAGTTTTACGTAATCTGAAAGCCTCTTTTTCATTTTGTTTTATATCTATAACTGGGAATGCACTGAAGAAGGCAGATGATCAATGTGAACTGCCTAATTAAGTGAATGCATAATTATTCTAATGAGAATAACCTATTTTTATAACAAAAAAGGAATTGTTAAGCAATTTCAAGTTATTAGAAACAATGTATTTTTCAAAGGAAACTATTTTAAAAGGAGGTCTCAACAGTGATTAATAAAACAGAGTTAATTTGAGCATCCCATTGGGTTCTAGACTTCCTTATTGCAATTAATCCATTACAGAAGTAAGGGAGAAGGGACCTCTGTAGAGACATTTATCTTGAAACCTCACCGCTTCTTTCCTTTTCTCTTTTTTTCCCCACTGCATTTTCGTTATGATGGAGAGAGGCCATTACATGCACTTTAAGAGGCATAGCAGCAAAACCTATTTTTAGGAAAGAAGTAAAAAGAAGCATGTTTTAGTTGTGGGGGTTTGGTGGGGGGGTTTTTGTGTGTTTGTTTGTTTGGGTTGTTTTTTTTTGTTGTTGTTGTTTTTTTGTTGTTGTTGTTGTTTGTTTGTTTGTTTGTTTTTACTTTTAGACAACAAATTATAAATTAAGACAGTTCTGGAGGGGAAATCTTTGTGCAACAAATATAACTGTACATTTATGGTGTCTTTTGTTTAAGGGAAAGCTAGTGTAGAAAGTCTTCAACAATTTCAAACTACTCAATTACACTGTATCCTACTAACTGAAGAATTTATTTTTGTTTCTTTTCAAACAGATGAGCTCTTAAGTATTTCACTGTTTGAAATTCCCCTCATCTCTGTGCACTGACAAATTTCATACATACATCATCTTTCTTCAACTTCTATTGAGATAGACTCAGTGCAGATACCGAGACATCCTTTGCGGATGGTCAATACTACATCCAAAACTAAATAGTTTCTGGGCCACAAGGGCACTGGTCTGACCTGACTGAACATTCCTAGGTTTGGCACATTTGTTAATGACTTTGATGTACTGATTCTTTAGATGCCATTATGTTCTTAAAATATTTAGAAGAAAGTTCCTTTGGACTTGTTTAGTTCATAGGTACCTCTTTGTGTTTTCTTGGATTGACACTTGGATTCATCTTATGTGACCATAGGCATTTAATCAAAACAAGTAGTTCAGAATTAATCTCTTCTATGTCAGTGGAGACCAATTCTGTTATCAATCTGTTAATGACAGAAGTTACCAAGGTCTGGCAGGATTCAAAATGGCATACTTGAGTCAGCTCCTCAAAGTAAAGTGGGATGCATGAGAGTCAGTATCTTGAGGAGATGTGGTAAGATATTTTGAAGTTAACTTTCCCAGAGGAAGAAAAAAATGAATTAAAAAAGAAATAATTTACTAAGTTCAACCTGTTTTAGTAAAAACTGTTCACTTTAAGTCATCTTTAACAAATGTGTATTAAAATATCCAGTTAAGTCTCAAACTTTACCAGAGCATTCAAATTTAGTATCCAAAATAATTTCCTCCAGTGTTTTAGTTCAAAAACTTCTATGTTGTGCCAAAAATAATACTTGAATTGAAAGAGAACTAAAAAATAAAAAAATTATATTGGTGCTTCTGTACTCCTTCCTCTGTCATTTTTTCTTCTTCCTGATTCATGAGAATTTTCTCTCTTTCATCTGTGAGGTGCTTCTGGGAGCATGCTGTGTACCTGAGCAGCTTCTATCATATCACTCATCAACATTCACATATTTGTAATGGTTTTCCACAAAGCTCAGATGACTGGTGTATGAGACGGGGAAAAGAAGGAAGAGTCAGGTGAGCAGCTGCCTGCATTTCAGTCTGAAAGGGGACTGTAATCCTCTCTGGTCACTAGAGTAACAGCCACTTTCCCTTACGTCCAATGACATGGAATCATGTCAGCAGTCGACAGGGATTTATATCTCTTCACCTTTTCCACTAGTTCTCCCTTCAGACATCTTCAAGCATAATGAGTTCGAAACACTGCTTCAAACCTAAATCCACTGAAGTCCAAAGTCAGCAAAGTACCTATAACAAAAATGATTACTATAATGCTAAGTTGAGATATGTGCGGTGGTGGAACAAATACAAAACTGTTCACCTCTCTCCAAATTTTCGTGTGATCACGTTGCCTCCTGCACTAAATCATACCTAAAATTATCTTTGGCTTAAGGTTTAAATTAAATTATAATACAAATGTAAGCTTCCTAAAAGATACAGTAAATTGACAGTTTTTCTCATAGCTCCAAAAAAAGTCCAAAAGGTTAAGAGTCAAAAATAACATCTGCACAACCTGGGAGCACAAATTATAAGTGTGTGCAATCCTGTGTGCATTTGGAAGAAAATCTTTAGTCCATTTATTTCTGCTAATCCATCAACACACTGCTATGTCCCCACTGACCATGCTTTTCATTTGGCTGTTTTGTGAGGTATGTGTTTTTTTAGGACTGATGCCAACAACTTTATTCTCTGTTCCAACATCTTCATGCTGAGAAAGAAAGTAATCTCTAAGATTTACATGCAAAATATGGATGTATTTCCGCACAATTAGACTCCTGGTCTATAGGATGTAGAATGTACCTGTGACAAGGTACAAATTAATGAGATGGAGAGATAAAGCTAGGGATTCCTATGTAGTATTTGGAATGCCCCTGGTAACACACAGTCCTCATCAATTCAAGCAATAGGTGGAAGGGAAAAGAAAAATAAAGCTAAAAAGAAAAGAAAGGGAAAAGGGAAAGAAAGAAAAGGCTAGGATAATTTATTTCAAATTTTACATGCCCCATGCCCAAAATGACAAGGATTTGTGAATCAGCTGTACTAAACAGACACATAACCCAAGCAGAAGTAGACCATATCTTTCTCACAGATACTTTGATATAAACATAGAATAACATCACTGAATTTGGTAAGGCGATCAGAAGTTATATAGGGAAAAGAAAGGTTTCACGTGAAGAGCTCTCTCTGTATAATGCTCCATGACAGAGAGCTAACAGCTCTACAGAGAACCTTCTTGTGTCTATTGCCTTTCAGCATCACATTTTTCTATGCTGTTATTCCACTGACTAAATTTTGCCCTTCACTCCTGAACTGCTGAGTAAAACCTCACTTATGTTGCAGTAATGACCTCAGCAGAAGGACAGAACCCACTTTTTAAATGTGGAAGACATCAAAGGAAAAGTTTGCTAATGTTTTTAGGGAATAATCTTATTAGGAAACAACACACCATTTTAATATTGTCATCTGGTAATGAGTCAGTCAATGTATCAGACATGAATGATGATTTCAATAACCGTGGTTTTAGTTTATAGGGCACTTGAAAATGAGACAGAGGGAATATTACAGGAAAGGACAGGCAAGTTGATGAAGTAAGGAAAGAGAAAAAGAAAACAAGTCTAGATCTGTAATGAAATACACACAATCCTAATGTCTTTTGCTGAGATGTATTGTTGAGACCTACCTTGAATTTGTGTGCAATTAAAATTTTCTAATAACTAAGGATAGATTTCTTAATAACAAAGGCTGGAAGGGGTTTGAGTAGGATTCTAAGAAATAATCAGCCGTAACTTTTCCTCATTGTCTTGAGATTTCGAATATACTTATACCCAATTGAAATAATGGAACTTACAAGCAAAAATACCCCTATCAGATTTACCTGCATAGGCATAAATAGAAGACAAGGCCACTAACTGCAATGTCTCATAATGCAAAATAATGGAACAGTGGGTTACATTAATTTAAATACAATTACATGTTCTATGTCCAAAGTTCGATTCTGGGAATTTAACATACAGAATTTCATACTGCATGGGACCAAACAGATATACACCACGTGAGCAATTCAGACAAAGATATCACACAGAGTAAAAATATGATTATTATGTAAGATTAATTTTCCCTTTTGGCCTTTTATATATTTTACATTTACTGGTTAGAATCAGAAGAGGAAATTAAGACAATATACAAAGATATATATATATAGTGCGCATGTGGTTCCCCACCTTCTTCCTAAACTAAGATGAATCTTATTATTTACTTCTATATTTTCCAATTGGAAATACTTAGCTTGCATTTAAGATTTGTCTATTATCAGCTTTAAAATACAGTAAGAATTAGTCCATAAAGATAAATTAATTTTGTTTCTCTGGGACTAAACACATCTGGAAATATTTTTTGCGCATCTAGCAAAAACAATCCAAAGTTATAAAGATACCTTCAAATTAACTGTGTGCCATAGGCACATGCATGGCTTAGTAGGAAAGATACGGCCAAAACTTGTCAAAACCTTTTGTAATACTTAGACATTTCAAGCCAAGAAATGCTGGGCAGGAGCTAGATGTTAAGGCCCATAAGATACTTTGATATACAGAACTCATGCACACTGAAGTAAAACTTCTAGTTGCCCACCCACCGGTAACCAGCGAAGTTAGGCCAAAACTGTTAACAATAATATTCCAGGCCATGAAACTTTGACATATGGCAATAGTCACCTTTGTTCTTTCCCAGAGAGGCAGCAATACTGAAATTCCTCTCACAGGAGGAGAGCTATGCAAAATATGAAATTCTTCACCTCTCCCTCTACAATGATTAACAAGCTGAAATGGAGATGAAGTTATACATGGTAGATTAGTTTCTTTCCCTTTAAAGAAGAGATTTTGCCAGTAGCACTTTTCAAACCTTTAATCACTTGGAGAGATTAACAGCAAGCCTGGAATACGTGTGGAAACCCTATCTATCTGAAACATACCATAATGCATGTAGCAGTTTCCTTTGGTAGGATCCAGCTGAATAGCCTTCATGAAGTACTTTTCTGCCTCACTCTTGCGTCCCTTAAAAAAAAGGGGGGGAAAATTATTTTAACAGTGTGTCACCATGGAGCAATCATGTACAGTTGAAATTTCCAAATTCCAGGCACTTGAGAAAAACAACTACTATTATCACTAGATTTAACCTAAATAAATATGAATGTTTAAGTGCTACAGGAAGTTTTGTGGTCAGCTACTTATGCTGCAGATCTCCAGACTGAGGAGGAAACGTGTCCAATATCCTCAATGTCCAAGAAGTAAGGAAGCAGTGGAAATGCATTGCAAAAAATATTGTAAAGGGCTTTAGGTGAACACCAAGCTCCATGCTACTCTTCTGGACAAGCATTACATTTACCCAAGGTGAAATCAGAGGTGAAGGTAGGACAGAGCTTTAGTCCTGCTTTTAAAAAAAGTGTGTGTGGAGGGTGAGGAAACAGCACGTTTTGTTCTATTAAATCACAGAATAATAGAAACGATCATGTTGGAAGGGACCCATAAAGATCACTGAGTCCAACTTCCTGCTCTTCGCCAGACTACCTAAAACTAAACCATCCCTTTGACTAAGAGCATCATACAGATACTTCTTGAGCTCTGTCAGGTTGGGTGCTGTAGCTACTTCCCTGGGTAGCCTGGTCCAGTGATCACTCACCTTCTCAGTGAGGAACCTTTTCCCAAGGTCCAATCTGTACCTTCCCCATCGTAGTTTCATTCCCTTTCCTTGTATCCTAACTATATACAGAGCCAAAGGTAAAGTTACCAAAAACAAAATGGTCAGGAAAAAACAAACAAAAACCCAAAACCTTAACAGAAATTATGGTAAAAAGAACACACATCTTCTAAGACAGATTTCCTTATCACTGAAATACCAAACTACTAAAGTTGCACGATTCTACACAAGTGCCAGAGCAGATCCATTAGTCACCATTATTCTTGAAGAAAACAGCCTAATCTGACACACACACAAATCACCACCATATGTTCAGTAAGATACCTGTGACCTATTTAACACTATCCCCATGAAATTAGTTGCTGTGGTTTTATAAAATAGAAGGCCTCCAGAATGACCTGCATCTCTCAAGTTGCCTTGAGTGTTATTTCACAGATATAAGCGTATAGGCTTTCTCAAGTTTTGTGGTCTGGAAACAGGCATGGCAAACCTCCTGCACTATCCCACAAGTTAACACAGGAGTAATAACGAGGTCTGTTCATGATTACAGCTGCTCCAGATTCTCAGTATTTTCCTCATGGGCCTTACAGACAATAAACTAGAGAGAAGGAAGTTGTGCAGCACACTAAGAACTATATCAAGACCATGTTCCATCAAAACCATCATAGAGGCCATATTTCAAGAGATCATCCTGGCATAGATACGAGCAGGCTTAACAGTATTCCAGTTTCACAAAATGAATGTTCATTGGAGGTAAGAATTTAGCCTTATTATTTAGTAAACGTTCTCTGGCAAACCCATATTCCTTAAAGCCAAATCCACATGGCACAAGGTTCCTGCCAACCAAACGGTGCAACTACATGATAAGAGTACATTATCTTATCCTGCAGTGGCTCATCCCTGCTTTAAAAAAAAGCCAGCCAACCAACCAACCAAATGAAAAAAAAAAAAAAAACCACAAAAAAAACAAAACCACAAACAAAAAGCCTAAAATAAAAAACCATATGACACATAGTGCAGAATGATTTTTCCTCTTCTACTAGTGCAGTAAAGATACATCTATTTTTTTTTAAATAGCATACAACTATAGATGAGAACAAAAACTGAAGAAGAAAATAATCATCAATTGAAAACACAATGTAAATTTGGGTCACTATAAAGTAATTATTCAAATTAAAATAATTGGCAGGGGGAGGTAATAATAATAAACTCAGTTTTGCATATTTAACTCCAAGGTTGGCACATTTCGGTCTGGCAAAAGTTACAGTGGTATACCTAAGTCTAGCATTGAGGTTTCAAAATTACAGGGACCAAGCATACGCATCATTGATTCCGACAGAATGAACATCTACATATTTTGCATAATTGCTTTTTTTAACAGGCTAACATCATTAGTTTTAGCTGGTTGCACTTGTGCCTATTTCTAGAACATAAAAGGACAGTTCATTGAATACAGTCACAAAATCATAGCTTCTGCCTACCAAACTATGACTAAGGCCACAAACATTTGTCAAACATAATTAATTTTTATTTACTGGAATCAGCAAAAATACATGACTGCTCTAGTCTTTTTGGCACTTTCCAAATGTCAGTACCTCAGAATAGATTTAATACACATTATTTTTTGTGTCAAATGATGTAAAATCCAATCAGTTCACATATTCAGGCTATTTCACCATTAAAATTAGGCATTTGTCAACTTTCTTCCAACTATTCAATGTATACCTCAACTATTACAACAGAATGTACACACCGTGTAGTTAGCTTGACATCAATCCCTGTCATTGTCCCTTTCTCATTGTATGTTTTCAGTGTTAAATAAAACACATGGCACAAAGGAATAAAATTCTGACCTTTAACGAAAATTCAAATAACTGTTTGAACAGCTGAGAAATACCAATCTGTGGCAGGGAGGCATTTGGTGTGCATGTTCACTGTTATGGATATTGATCCATACGAATGCAAGCATTGAGACCCACTGGAAACCTCCCTATTTCTAGCAGTAGGGTGCACAGTCATATACTGCACAACGACATGCTTTGGCAATTTTACAAAGCAAAAAAAAAAAAATGTAAGTTTACAACTGCACGATAGTAGACTTATTTGAAAGATAAAGAAGTTATTCATAAATTTTGATGAAAAGACTTGATGGCTCTGAGGATCAATAATGGGATACAAAATACCTTTAACCTGTTAGTCACCAGTTTACATCCTGTCCAGGTCAGTAGCTAATGAAAAGGTGCTATCTAACAGCTACTGGCTTGCTCAGGAGAAATGAGTGGGTGGTCCTAGTCCAAGCCCTAATGGAGATCCTCTGCACAGATGTACTGGCATATTTATGGCTTTTCAGTGTAGAGACTTACGACACAGAATCATAAAACAATGAACGTGAATCTTACTGCTAAGGAAAAAAAACTTAAATATGCTTGATTTGGAAGACTGGGCTGGTATTTCCCTTACCACATCTGGACCTAAAGCACATAATGAGGACAAACTTTCAGCAGTTTTCCGTTAATAAAGAAAACTTCAATCTCCCTCTCCCATGCTCAAAAAAAGACAAATTGCCCATGATTACCATCCTCAAGCAACACCAACAAATTTAAAAGGAAAAAAAAGTTTAAGAAGTGCAGCTAAGGCACTTAAAACCTAGCACAAAACTTGTGTTGGTTTTCAGAAATACCTCACTCATGCAGATTTTGAATCAGACTGGCTATTTGCTTGCAGTTTTGGAAGCCAATTAATTGTTTAAATATTAAGTCAGAAGCTTGATTTTTTAAAGACCAGTTCTCTGTAGTTGATTGCAATTGCTAATATGATCAGACATTGCTTAAATGGGCTTTCCTACAAATGATTGTTATGATCACCATGATAAATGAAAGAGAGCTAGCTAAGGGCAGCTGATACATTAGTGAAGATTTTATTCTTAAAATACTAAAAAACTGAGGACAAAACTACCATTTCGATATTCATCCCAATTTTTTTCCTCACTATGCTGGTAAACTCCGCCAAATTCATGTTGAGGCAGCTGTTGTACTTCAGGCTGCTGGAGGCCCACAGATCCTGAAATGGTAGTAAAAGTAAAAAATGCAGCTGAGCAGCTCTGAATAACCCTCTTGTGGAAACTATGATGACACAGTGACAACCAGTAAGTCAGGTGGTTCAACAAATTAGGTGGTCTCTGCAATTTGAACCAACTTTATACATCATAAATATTAATCATTATTCAAAGTTTACAAGGGTTTCACCAATAGGACAGAGACTTCATTCTTCAACATAGAGTTTTTTTCTGAGCTTTCACTGGTAATTATGTGATTGCATTTGCATCACAAATGGAGTTGACTGTCATTCTCCATGTCTGTTCAATGTATTTTTTTTTTGGCAAGTATTCACATTTTTAATTGAATTGTGAAAAGATTTCTTAATGGAAGGTTGATTGAGCTGTTGACACTAAATATAGAAAAAATACTATTTTACATATTTTCTTCTTCCTCTCTAGGACATTTTAAAGTCTCAGACAGACTATGCAAGGATAGTAAAAAAAGTCTGAACTGAACCTGTGACTTCATTTCTATGTTTCCTTAAGTTATTGCAGGCCGGCATAACTTTCATAATCAGTTCCTTTTGCCTTACAAAAGTTGTGATAGGATAGGGAAAACAAAATTTAAGTGATGCAATACTGAGGAAATTAGAAATATCTTCTTCAAAAGCTTTTACTTAGCTGGACTAAGAAAACAGGAACTAGAGAGCTGTATCTTCCAATGATGTCACTGACATAGGCAAGCTCCCCACTCCTTCTCTAAATATTAATAGTTAAGAAACAACTTTAATATCTAGTATTTAGTAACTAAAAGAATTCCTTTTTTCCCTTCATTTTGCTATTACTTCTACAACTCTTCCATTTTAATTCTGAATTACAATTTAAATAACTTACATCATAATTTGTATGTGAAATGTTAGTGCAACTGAAAAATACAGGACTTGTATTATCAACATCAAAGGTTCAAAATTTATTTCAGGTTCTATACTTTCTGTGCACTAAGGAGATAAATCTTGCCTCTTCATCTCATCCTTCTTATAATAAAATAAAAGCAACTGAACGTGGTAGAGAAGCAAATACTTCTAAAGGTTAGCATCTGTCCCAGAGAAAGACACATATGAGTCAAGGTTTGTAAGAAGAAGTGAATGTGAAGTAATATATATTTCACTAGAAAAACAAACAATTGTGGGGGGAGGAGTTTAAAGTCAAGCAGAGCTATTCTTTGTCCACCTAATATCAGTAGGCTTGTAAAAGACGTTATCTTCGTAAAGTTTTACTCTCTCTTATCCTTAGATGATCACAGTGAGAAACAATACTTGT